TCCCTTACTTCTCCCCTACTCCTACCCTCTTTCTTCTCCTTCCTACCCTCTCTCCTTCTCTTTTTCTCTCTTCCACTTCTCAAAGCGGTAGAAATGATAGGAATTATAACAGCACTTAGGGAAAAAAAACACTAAGAATTTGTCCGTAGGCTATGCTTGTGTATTTATCAACATATAAGGCAATGTGTATAAACATTTAACTTCCTGAAAATCAGCATCTTGGTGTTCTCAACATGTGCCACTGCCAATCTCCAAGACACGTAAATAAACCACAGTTTATCTATATAAGCCACCAGCAACCACAGGAAGCAGCTTCTCCACTGCCGTATACAAAACAATATGGTTAGTCAAGATACGTTCAGCTGCTATCCTACACAATCCAAGAAAAGACCGACCATATTCAAGAAACTTTTCTTCCCTCACCACAAGTCAAGGAACAACAAAGTCCCAGAATTTGTGGAACGATAGGAATGTCCTTTCCCTTTTTTTTTTTGAAGTTGACATTTATAGGTTACAGATGGCACAAACTCTCAGAAGAAAGCAAACAAAGGATGCTTCCCTAGAAAAACCCATTCAACCCTTAAATCCCGCTTCCTCTACTAGTCCTGCCAGTGTGGAGAAGGACGGGATTCGTTCATCCCACAATGCTGAGGGAAGATATCTACAACCAGATATCTTATAGATTTCTGGAGAAAAGGGGATAAGAAATCTATGGACCTCCAGATCCCGTGAAGCAATGGCTCTCATACTGAAGGATGATGCTACTTAAAGCCTTTTGAGATTTAAATAAAACCCACCACTCATCTTACCTGTTTCCCACGTATGTAAACTGGAAAGCACCCTAGAAGAAAAAAAGCAATGTTTCTTAATAGCTTCAGTGGAGGGTGACTTTAAAAAGCCAACACATCCAAGAACTATACGTACTTATCGGTTTGTATAATAAAACCCAATGCAAATGAAAATAGGACCAGGAAGAATTAGTGGGGAAGATATTATCAGGCATAGTGTACCTGGAACAGATATCCATATTCTTCATGAATGTGGCTGAGAATATGGTTATGCTATGAATTACTATCATTCGGAAGAGGAGGAGGAGGGGAAGGAGGAGGAGGAGAAGGAGGAAGAGGAGGAGAAGAAAGATGAGGAAGGAGAATTTGAGGAGGAGGAGGAGAAGAAGAGGAAGAAGTAAACGAAGAGGAAGGAGGAGGAGAATTTGAGGAGGAGGAGGAGAAGATGAAGAAGAAGAAAAAGAAGAAGAGGAAGGAGGACGAGAATTTGAGGAGGAGGAGAGGAAAAGAAGAAGAAAAAGGAACGAGGAGGAGAATTTGAGGAGGAGAAGAGGAAGAGGAAGAAGAAGAAAAAGAAGAGGAAGNTTCTTTCTTTCTTTCTTTCTTTCTTTCTTTCTTTCTTTCTTTCTTTCGTTGCAGCAAACACACAGCCTATTTTCCTATCATTTTGAGAAGCGGAAATTGATGAAAACTATAATATAAGCCAAATATGAGCACATTACAGATAAAGGCAAAAACAATTTAACAAAACCGCAGCTTCTTATGAGATATAGCCACACCTACTTCGATTCCTCAACCCTCCCCCTTCCCAGAAGATTGACCAAATTCGATACAAGATTTCCCCCCCAAAAATAATAATAATTAAAAAAAAAGAAACCTACCAGTTTTGAAACATAATCCACAGCTATCTGATCAATCTTTTTTTGGCCAACGTACCGCAGGGGTCTTAGGAGATGCTCTTTCAGTTGTGCCACCATCTGTAAAAAAAATATGTACCCATAAAGGAGAATATACGTCTCTTGGAGTTGAAATGTGGGGTCCTTGATGCGCTCTGTTTTCTTGCTAGCTCTGATGTTGTTACCTAGTATGGCAAGGAAACGTCTGCAAGAAAACAACCAAGCTCAGAGAACACCAAGGGCCCCTTCGTAAAAATATGTGAACAACTAATATTAAAATATTCTGATTTATCATACATTGCAGAAAATAAACGTTAACTCTCGTGCGTAATCTTAGGACCGCAAGCAAAGAGCCACAGAATCATATGACTTCTGCTATCAAGAAGTAATTTATTATTTATTTATTTATTATTATTTATTAATAAGATTCATAGGCCGCCCAATCCCGAGGGATTGTGAGTTGGAAACCATAAGCGGGCAGCCGGCGGCCTGCAGAACTGGCAGCAGAGTCAGACAGTGAGGAGGTTGGGGAGGAACCTGGGCCAGGCCTGGAGTCTGGGGAAGGCTCTGAGGAGGGCTCTGTGTCGGAGGCAGAGAGGGGGCCAAGGCCGTCTGGCAGTACTCAGCTGCCTTCGGAGTCAGATGTCAGTGAGGCAGAAGAACAGCTGGAGCCTGTTCCCAGTGTGCGCATGCGCAGAGCTGCCAGAAGGCAAGAACTAAAAAAGCGAATGAGGAGTGGGCTTTTGCAGGAAACGATTCCTTCATTCAGTTGTGTCGAGAGAGGAAAGTTCTGTTTGTAACTGTAAGAGACTCTGTGCCAAGTTTGGCCTTGCCCTGCGCTTGGAAACTAGCTATTTGGCAGCTTGCCGAGCAAGATAAGGTTCGTGTTGATAAATATTCCTCTGAATATTCCTCTTGGCTAAACCTTGCGGACTATGAATGAAAGGGATTCACAGTCGTGGAAATAAAAGGGGTTTGCCGGGACCAAGACTCCGCTTGTTAAGGAAGCCTGGCTCAGAACACAACCGAGGAATTTTCTGCACAACAAAAAGTGTGCGTAAATCACAATATCTGTTCCAGAGAGCAAAAGGCTGGAACTTCAGTTGCTAAAGATGTCTCAGATAGCAAGGGGATGATTCAGTGGTCTGTTCTGATCTAGGTTTCCCCAGCAGGACAAAGCCGAGTCCTCGTCCCGATAAACCCCTTTTAGCCAAGGTGGCGCAGTGGTTAGGGTGCAGTACTGCAGGCCACTTCAGCTGACTGCTATCTGCAAGTTCAG